GCACTGGCTACGTTTTACCTGCATGAGAAAACAGCTGGACATGGCAATGGTCACCAGCAGCAGTTTTGCTTTTTGTATATAACAAATTCAGGATTACTAGTTAGCGTTTTCTTATTAAAAGCGGATTGCTAAAGTAATGCACGAGTGCTTCAGCGTTGCTATCAAACACACACTTCATTTTCATAAGTATTTTTAGACTGCATGTGCTTGAGGAGGTTAGAGTGGGCGGTTAGCGGGTTAGATAATGTACTTCAAAATTCCCAGTATGAGCTGTGGGGGAAGACCAGCTTAGAAATCACATGCTTCAGCTATAAAAATACAGTGTGGGGTTTTTTTTTTGTCTTGTTCTGTTTTAGAAACTTTAAAATTTGTTAGCCAGTGTAGTCTATTGTAGAGAGAGGTACCTGTTGCTGGTAGGGCTGGTATCCCTCAGGGAAAACTGCCCCCTTGCCAGCTAAATTCATGGTTAATGTAAGTGATCTTAATTCTTTTCAGCTTAAAGATTTTGTTTGCTGCATTGTCACTTCCAACTGTTGCTGAAGTCATCTAAAAGAAAATTCTTTGAAGGTAAATAATTCACCTTTACAGACACAGAACCAAGTCTGAGAGAGAAGAAACAATTACTCGGAGCTGCTTATATTTTTCCTAGACTTGATCTCAGTACCTTTATAACTGTAGCACTGGAAAAACAAATACCTGAAAAGGTGGAGTTGTCCTAATGCCAACAAAATATCCTGACAAACAGGTGCATTGCCTGTCTGGCTTTTCTTTTTAGACCCAGTAATAGTGTTTGAGCCCTTTTAGAGATAATTGCATTTCTGCTGCCTTAACTAAGCCAAAGGTTGAGAGATGTGCTGTGCTAAAATCCCTTTTTGAATTGTTTTATGGGCATTTAAAGCCTGAGGTCAGGGCTTTAAACCTTTCTGTTGGCGAGGGAGACCTTCAGCTTTCTGCCGTCAGTTTGAGAAAGGGAATATATTGAGAAGAAAGAGCCACATCCACCTTCTTTGCATCCCGTTGCAGCTATCTGAAACCAGAGGTTTTCAGATCCGAGTAAGGGAGAGTGTGACCTCTTTCATGAATGGACCAAAAAGGAATGTTTTCATTTCCAATGGGCTTTAAGCCAAGTAAATACTAGTCGATCCAAACTAGTTTTGAAATTAAATTATTCTTATTTGTTGGAGCATTCCAGAGAATAGCTTTGATCTGTCTGTACTTTCACCAAAGGGATATTGGCAGGCTGGCCTCCCATTTCCAGCCATTCAGGATGAAAGCGGGGTTATAATAACCACCTTGTGTGGCAGTGATACTGAACAGATGACATTTTTTGGACAATATTAAATGAATAAAGGTAAACATACTTCAATTAAAATGTTTTTGGAGGCTGTATGCAATAGTGCTGTTGAAAGTCTTCTATGCGGGTTGGAGGAATTTGGCTGCATTTGTAACTGATTTTCTTTAACTCCAGAAATGTTTGAGAGGGGTTTGTTCTGTGCATTATTTCCTTTTCAAATAAATACGTTGTTTGGATGTAACTTTAAAAAAATCAAATTACAATTGGCAGTGGACAATGGCAAGAGATGGCAGTCAAGGAAGATGGTTTTTCTTATTTAGTGCTTTGCTCTTTTCCTTCTGGGATCTCGGATCACATCACTCCTGGTGAGCTGTACCATGTGCAGTGCAGCCAAGAGGTAGCTCAGAAGACACCTGAAGCACACAACAATTTAGTGGTATGTTATCGGTCTTGCTGAAGATATTTGGAGGCAACTTAAAGCTTCAGTTAAAGAACAAAATAAGATGTGCAGTTGTCCTATTAGGGATATTGGGTGTTCCCCTTCAGTCTTTTGCTGGAGGGTCCTCCAGAAGAGGAGGAGGAAGGAGCAGGGTGGTAGAGACCACCCCTCCGTAAAGTGCCATTAAGACTCAGCTGAAGAACCTTTTAAATAGATGTCAGTTGATGATAATTTCCCCAACACTCAAACATGAACTACTGTAAACTAATGTAAATATAGTAATTTTGGATGGCTAGAACTGTTGGAGCTCATCTTGTCTAACCACTCCCCAAAGCAGGGCCACCTTCAAAATAAGGATGGGCTGCTCCACACTGAACGTTCAGGTGTCTTATTTTAAGCCCTGGCTTACACAGATTGCAGGTTATGTGGGACCTTTGTTGTTCAGGTTTATTAAATGTATTTACAGGTCTTTTGTCAACAACTAAATATATGAAACAGCTTTTGCAGTAACGCTGCAAATTAAATTGCTTTTCCTCTAAATGGAGGTGAAATGGATAGACAGGTGTACTCTGTGCAGGTTTGCTTTTCTTTCTCGGGAATTGGACTTGATTTCTGCATTAAAGAAGACAAAATCCTTTAAGAGATACCACTTTAAGCCATCAGCCCTGTTGATGGGGGTCCTGAAATGTCAGCTGCATTTTAAGTCCATTTAAGTACTTTGTGTGTTCGTGCCTTAACAGAGGAGCAGTTTGAACAAAGGCATACAGAAACCAAAGCACAAAGGGTTTGTAGGTTAAAACTTCAGCTTTTGTTTTCCTGGACGTCTACTCAAAACTGGATCCATTTGCTTTAAATATTTAGTTTTCAACTCAGCATGTGAACTGCTCATGCTTGAATTTAAAGCTTGACTTATTTCTTTCTGCACGTGTTTTTATTTTAACACTGACTGTATACAATATAGACTTTTGCTACATGGTTCCTTTCTCCCCACACAAGACCTTCCCAAAATGTACATTTGTAACTCTGCAACACCTGGAAGTGTAAAGTAGGCTCACTACTCCATTTCTCTTTTCTGAATCCTTGGGTTTCTTTTCTGTGTTATAAGACTGACCCATGTATCTGTTTTTAAGACCAGGGTTGGTTGTGCACTGCACTGCAAAACCTTGTTTCTATCAAAACAAGGTGCAACCCTGCCCCTGGCAAGATGTCCCAGACAGGCCAGAGAGGAGAACCGGACGTGAACTGGGGGGAAGGGAACCGTGCTGGGGCATGAGAGGAGCCGAGATGAGGGAAAATGGGGGGAGAAGCCGTGGGGGTGTGTGTGGGTGTACAGTGGGACTTGGAGCCTGGGCTTTTTCTGCAATAGTTAAATTTGACAAAGGGAAGGGGTGAGCCAAGTGATCTTGAGGAGGAGATTTTAAATGAAATGACATGCGTATTCTGTTGGATATGCAAATTGGAATTACATAATCAGCAAAAATAATAATAATAAAATCTTTTCCAGATTTGCAGACTTAACCGTATGTTCAGCGGGGTGGTGGCAGAGAGCTGGCTAATGCGGCTGCAGTGTAAAACTGGGGCATCCAACTGGTTTTGATCTTGATAGAAAAGGAGCAGAAGGTCACTTCACAGTCTGTTGTTTTCAGTGTCTCGGAGTTTATATAATTCTTTGGGCAGATAAATGATGTCTGGTGAGATCAAATGAAGATGCTTCACTTAGTGCTGTAGTGACTGCAAGCCGTCCTCTTTCCTTGCTTCCCCTTCCCTGTGGAAAACTGGAGTTGGTGGATATTCCTCCTGTTGTTGTCCATGCAGGTGTATTTACCATATCCTGTGTGGGTTAGCTGTGATATGTGCTCTTCATGAACATCATTTTTGCTGATCGCAGAGGTACACAAAATGATAGAAAATACTGAGATACTGAAACTAAGCAGAAGCGTTCAGCAAACAGATAATGACAAATTTGTTTTCAGTCTATACTGCCACAGTTTTGGGCTGGGTTTTTATTTATTTGAGGAAGGTGGAAGACATCTCAGTAGATGTGAACCCTTCCTGTCATTGTGTGTTTATGCATTAAGGATGAGAGATGCGTTCAGTGATTAAATTGGTTACATTGGAGTTGTCAACACAGTGGCTGGCTTGGATGGCAGAAATGTGAACACTCAAGCAAGAATTAGGGAATTTCTTCATATTTATGAAGACAGATGCAATGTTAGGCCGTTATCCCAATTCTGTTGTTTTAACTATGCATCTGTGGGGGGATACATGTGTGTGGGCGTGAATAAACAAACCCTGTGTGGAATATGTGCTCACGTTTGTCAGACTAGGTGTGATTTCACTGTATGAAGTTGCTGTTTTGAATATAACCTTGAGATGTCTACATATCTCTTCCTCAAGCTGCGCTCAACATATTTTCTGGCTGGTTGGCTGGCTATGATGCTAAGAGGCATGCTAAGGATGACTTGCATATCTGAAAACTAGAGACGTGTGAAGGGAGCGTATGAATGGGAAGCAGGAGCCTTGAAGGCAGAGATGTTTTATTTTATATAATGCAGTTCTTGCACATGTAAACCAAACTTTTGTTTTTGTCCTTTTCCCTAGGGTGACTCAGTTATTACAGTGCAGCTGACTGAAGAAGATAAAGTTGAAGATGATGTAGTCTTTTACTTGGTCTTCACTGGGTCAACTGTCCGACACTGCACAAGCACAAGAAAGATTGATCCTGGGAGCCTGGAGACAATTTCTCCTGGTAAACAATTGCCTTTCTTTGTACATTAGTGTATCAGTCTATGAAACTTGGTTAATTCAAGTGGACTTAAGTGTGATGTTGTTTTCTTGGTCATATTTTTCCTCATTTGCACATTGATGGAGAATGGAAAGTCTGGTTTGGATGACTGCTTTTGCCTTTTAAAAATCTCTCGCTTGATTTCACTACAATTCTATGACTCTGAGATTACAATTATTTAATGTTTAGCTATGGGATTCCGCTGTAGAAAATACAGTTATATTTACACATAGTAGAAAGCTTTTAAATGTGAACAAGGTAACAGAAGATATATTTGTAAGGGTAGAGATGCTCTTGTCCAGGCAATGTTCATCCTAATAAGTCCTAGCTAAACTTAGGATCTTCTTAACTGGGTGAGGTTCATTACTGTAGAAATACAGCCCTTTTTCCCTAAATCTTGTGCAGATCAGAGCCAACACAGAGCTTCCGAAGCTCTTGTGGTGGTAGATAATATGTGGTATTTGGTGCCATCCCTCCAGCTCAGAGCTTCCGAAGCTCTTGTGGTGATAGGTAATATGTGGTATTTGGTGCCATCCCTCCAGCTTGGCCAGTTCAGATGGGGTGGGTGTCCACATTAAAGCCCACTGCTCTTTTTCAGCCTTGATGCCGTTAACAAAACAAAACAAATGGGTACAGTATTTTCCTCTGGTGACTTCAGGACCGTGGGAATGAGCCATGTTCCAGGCTGCGGTCCTTACCATTAACCTTTCATTCTGACTTGTTGCTATGCAGCACATTGATGCTAGTGTGAGAAAAACGGCTGACATTTTCACTCTACATGGTATAGCTTATGCGACTGAGTGTATTTCTTGGGTCTGCCTTTTTATGTCTCTCGTAAGTATCGTTTTATGAGAGATGTGCATTAAATAAAACGCAGGCTAAGGAGTTTTTCCTCCTGATGATGAGTAGCTAAAAGTTGGCCACCGTATTTTTTTCATTTCCTCCTCTTTTTGTGCTGTTTGGGTTGTTCAGTTGGCTTAGGAAGAGAAGTCTTTTTATGGTTACTGACGACTGGAGCCCCATGCAATCAATTAGATTAGTGCTTATTTTCTCCTCGAGGAGGGAGAAGAGGGGGTGACTCCTTCCCTGCTTTTGTATGGCAGGCGTGGGGCTCTGCCAGCCCCGCTTGCAATGACCTCACCTCCCCCTCGGGACCATGGCTGCGTCGCCAAGAAAGGAACTGAAAAGCTTCAGTGTTCCCCTCCAGCCCACACGGGAACCGGCGGATTTCATGGGATTTCTGGGCAGGAGAGATGCTTTCCTATCGCTGCTGGCCCTGATGTCCGTGGAGCAGTGGTGGATGCTGCCAGGCGGTACCCGGGGTGACGTTGTGGGCTCTGCCCGTCCTGCCGGCCCCAGATGTAACTGAGTCACTGGGGAGGGCTCCCCTGGGCTCGTTTTGTCACTGTTCGTGAGAAATCTGACTCTGCTTCTGATGGAAAGGAGGGAATTGCTCTCAATTATTTCTTTAGTTATAATATGCTTCTTTTTTTCCTTTTGACCCAGTAAAGTTGTGATCTTGCTGCATAGAGATTGGTGCTGTCCCAGAATATGGCTTGTATCAGGCAAAGATTGAATAGACCTTTGGGAAAGGTAGTCCCGTTCCTGCCAGATAGCACTGTCCAGGGCTGCGGTGTGAGGGAAGAGGTGACATCTCAGATGTAAGGAACCATTTGGATAATTCCCTCTTCTGTGCTCGTACTTCATTTTGGAGAAACAACCTGAGGAAAAGACTTTAGTGGTGGAGACAGTGCTGGGATGAAGCAAACTGGGAGAAAACAGTTCTTTCCTCTGACACTGATGCGTTTGTCCGGTGTTGCTCCAGCACTGACCACTCTGATTTCAGTAAAGGCATGACTTATTTCAACCCAACTTCTCCTCCTCCTTCTTCCTGAACTCAGTGAATCTGTAATCATGTGTTTACACTGTATATTCAGCCAGTTGCCTTGGAGATAGTTGTGGTGACTCAGAGCTGGCGTTATTTGACCTCGCTGCAGGATTAGCCATGAACAAGAGACGCTGTGTGGGAGAGACCAACCCTTGTTTAAACAGCCAGGCCCGGGCACTTGGCAAGGGCTTTGCAAGGAAACTCTTGCAAACAGCTTTTAGCCAAAATCTCCTTGTTCACTTCCAGCTTTGAGCATCTGTCATTTGTCCCTGCAGTGCAAGACGTGTTGCACATCCCTGGGAGTACAGCAGCTCCTTGGGGACCACTCAGGTGGATGAAGGAAGGGCTGATTCACTCAGGACCATACCAGTCGCCTCTCCAGTCTGCCTTGGACCTCCTCTGCCTCCCTTCTGGGCTTGGGGGCTCTTCTTTCATCCTTCTCCCAAGTCCTCAGAGTCTCATGTGGTCCCAGATCAAGTCCATCAGGGACTGGGGTGATAATAATTCAGTTAAGGGTATTGTAAAAAGAAAACCGGATTTTATTTTTTTTTCTTGACTTTTTCAGTAGTTTTGGTGATGGATGGAGGCGTAAAAACAAGAAAGAGAAATTATTTGATTACATCTGCTGCCAAAATTAAGCAGAATGTTTTAGCAAAGCTTTAAAAGGCAATCACATTTTAAAAAAATAATAATCTCAACAACATAAGGTGGTTTTAGATGAGGAATTAAAGAAAATGGAATGGAAATATAAACTGTCAGACTACCTCTTAAATTCTTACTGTGAGTGAAAATTCTCTATATCCTGAAAGACTTTACTTAAATAAAAGCTTACAACTGCAGAGTCAAATGACTGCTGCATTGTATGTCATTACTATAACAATCTGCTGCTTTCTTATGCTGTCTTTATCATCAGCCTTAAACATTGAATATATATTGTTAGCAGTGCTGTTCAAATGTAAGCTTTTACATAAAAGCTTATGCATAAGCATAAAACAGAAAGGGCTTCTGACTGTAAATTTATGGGAGCAGCTTTTTTTATCTGAATATGTGGCTAAATGTAGATTGGGAAGTCCCTCAAAGTACTACCTGTATTTTTGCACTTGCTCTGCAGGATGGGATGGGGTGGTTATCCTGTGCCACTACTGACTGCGTTATGAATTTAAGGGAAAGTTTTGCCCCTTGTAAGAAACAGAGTCTCCTCTGACCTGATCTGTCATAGCTTGAAGTACCAAATAAGCTACTGAGTTACAAGAATTAGGCAGTGACTGATGCTCCGTGTGCTTCCAGCAGCTCTTTCGCCAGCCTAAGGACAAACCAGGTTGTGTCCCACTAAGCTTCTGTTTGCCTCAGTGAAAAGGTACCAAAATCTTATTTAACAGTTGCTTTACTGTCACTGTTAAAATGCTGCTGTTTCTGAAGGATCCAGTTCAGATTCTCCATAGTTGAAGAGGTTTTCCTCAGTACCAGCTCTGCAGAACAACTCCAGACGCTTCCTCGTCAGACACTTCCCACGTTAAGGTTTGGGCAGAGATGCTGTGGCACTGGATGTTGCTCTAGTTTGGGTATCATTAGTTACAAAAGCTTAGTCACTGGAGTTTGGATATTAAGAAAAGACCACAAGTCTGAGCAGGGAAGGATGCAGAAAGGTGATACCAGCTCTGCTGCTATGGCTGAACCGTTGCTGCTGCTGCAGTTGTACGGTTGGGGATGGATGCGTCCACTTCCATCATGTATGGCTGCCCTACAGTTTGCTGAACTTTTCAACAAGTCCTTGTTACTGAAGTAACTGAGATGGTAATAATCTTTAATGTACTTTTTTCTTCCTAATGTCTCTGCTGGGTAGGGAGGGTGACTGAGACCTTGAAAGTCTGTGTTAAAGCAGGGAAGTGAAACTTCATTGCAAGACAACAGCCTCATCGCCTGCCTCTGCTGCTGAAGCAGCTTTTCCCCCACTGGAAAAAAACCAACTTATAATAAAAAACCTCAAATCATCATCTGGCAAACAAAGCCACAGAAGAAGGAACTACCTCATCCCTGTCCACATAAGTCAAAAGTCTTGACCACAGCCTGCAGTGGGCAGTGGAGGCATCTTGGCATTGGGAAGCTCTCGGGCAGTTGTGCAGAGAACTTTCTCACAGGGTGAGCTGGTGTGCCTGGAGCTCCGGTATTTTTGTGGCGCATTGAGTGAGTGCAAGCTGTGTGCCATCACGATAAATGCTGCATTATTGGCCCAGATTTTGCCTTGCATTTTGAGACTGGAGTGTAGTATCTGGGAAACGCAGAGGAGCTCAGAAGAGGGAAACGGGGAGAGATGGTCCAGTACTGTAAGTCCAGAGCTCCTAATCAAGCAACTGAAGGGTAGGAAATACCCAGTCTGTGAGCTGAGTCACTGAAACAAGGAGTAAGGTAATTTTGTGAGAGACAGTTGCCTTTGTGCTGTTGCAATGCATTGTATCGCTCTGAGCCTTTGCTCTGTAATATCTACATCACTTCATCATGATCTCGGAAGGTGCAGGATTCTTGTCCAGGTTTCAAAGGGGAAGAGAAGCAAAATTAGAGGCAGAAAAAGGGCCTGAGAGGCTGCCTGCCTGCTGGTTGCCAGCAGTTTCCACAGGGCTGAAACACTCCTGTTTACTCCCAGTGCCTTGGCTCACAGGGAGCTCGCTCTCTGCTTAAGCTAAGGCGGAGAAGCAGGTTCAGTCTTTAACTTGTTCTTATTTCCTGTAGCTCTCCGATTGTTTTTCCTCTACTTTCTTTCTGCTAGTTAAGAAAATAAACTAAAATTAATTTCAATTAGCTTGGAAATATCTTCATTTCAAACTTCTATTCTACTCTGAGATCCTTTGCATATGTTGATGCTTTATTCTTTTCTACCACAGGCTGTGTTTTCCCTTAGGAAACAACTTTTCATAGAAAAAGCTATATTTCATGAATTACAGTCTTTGTACTGATAGACCAAAAGGGTAAACAAGTTGCATAACAAATGACCACTTGGCAATACCAGATGTGGGCTTGAAAATACTCTTAATTATGAAACAAAAAAACCCCTAAAATAGAATGAAACAGCATAGCCAAGAAGACTTTTTGCAGTCCGTCCTCTTTGGTGCACTTAATTGCTGTAGGCTGTGTAGTTAAAAGGAAGCGATGCCAGTTCTTGATGACATCAGTCACAGGAAAAAGTGATTGAATCTGTATGGAAAGTATCTATGATGTGCTGTGTGGGGTCTTACACTTCTGTAGATATTTAGGACATCTGCAGTATAAAAAAAGCCTTAGAAAAGTCTTCCTACACTCTCCGTATTAATAGTTGAGGGTTTAAAAGGAAAAACAAGGCTCCTGACTATCGCTGGTACTGTGCCTATGTATTTCATAAGGTTTCCTGTGTTGCAAGAGTGAATACAATAACTGTGTAAATTACACACATAGACACTTCAGATGTGAGCTCTGATTTTCAGAACCAGGTTTTGGGATTTGTGAAGCAAAAGGGAGCACCTTTTTGGATGGCCACAGGAGATCCTTTGGCTTCCCTGTGCGCAAGCCACCCATGGCACAATCTCTTGGATGCAAATCCATAGACTCAATGAGATTCACCACATTTTTTGTCTGGCTTTCCTGCCCTGCTTAAATCTCTTTGTAAGACCCAGCCCCACTGTGGTAATTCAGAGGATGCAATGAGCACCAGAGTCCTTGGTCACCTACCAGGCAAACCCAAACATGTGCTTCCAGCAGGGCTTTAAATAGCAGCCCAGGCTGGGCCCATTGTTTGATAGCTCCAATGTGAATTCTGAAAATAGGAGGTTTGGACAGGATTTCCACTTTTAGAGCAGTAGGAAATGAAATCATGATTTGGTAAAGCTCTGTTTAGGGGTGTTTTGTCTCCGTGTGAGCCTTGTTTAGCGATAAAAAGTCCGAAGAGTTTTGCTGCTGCCCTGTTAACCACAGCCCAGGTCAAAGGCACAGGTACCAGATGTACCAATTAGATGGCCAGGTCTAAAGCCATACATTAACTTGCCTATTAATTACTTACAGCTCAGAAATCTCCACCTTTTCTGCTCATTGTGTTGCATCATTATCACGTAGAGGATGCAGTGCTATCATACCCATGCATCTCGGAGACCAGAACCCCATGTTCTTCAAGTTTTTGTGTTTATGTGTTGCCCAAAGCAAGTTTCGGTGAGGAATTATTTACTTGAAGAGTTGTCTCATTTAAAATATTTTTTAGAACATAGTTTTATGTGAAGATGAGGAGTTTGCTCTATCAAGACAGAAGCAGTTACTGCACCTATCTCTGCATAGACTGAAATAGTTTTTTAATTTCTGTGTTTTTCCTGCAATATGTTGTCACTGATCCAAACAGCTCCAAGCAGTGAATTATTCCTAAGCTAAATTTAAAGTAACTGAGGAGCAGAAGGAGAAATGTGGTAAAATGCAATGCAGGAAGAATTGAGAGGTGGGTTATTTGACTTTTATCACGGTTAAGCCAGCATATCAATGACCTTGCTATTGATTGCTATTTTGGCAGAAGGACTTGGTTTCTGGAGAAGACCAAAGGCAACCAGGAGGGTGCTTGGGGGCATCACAAACCTGATGGTGGTGTAAAGCATGGAGATTTCTCCTCCCTTCTGTGGGTGCACTCACGGGTGTGATCTATTCAGTTGCGTGTGTTTCCAGCCTACCGAAATGCAAACCTCTATAAATAGGCTCATCACTCTTCCTGACACACCCAGGGTTTTTCTGCTTTTTTAATGAGTCAGACATTTTTCATTCCACTTCTGGGGAAGGTGTATGAGGGACTTAGAGTTGTTGATAGTCGAGTGTCCTGGTGCTTGCAAAGTGTGTGACTTGATGCTTAGCCCGTGTCAGAAGAAAGCCCTGCTGTCCACTGGCCAGAGCAGAAAAGAGATGCTCAAGAGCAGTAGTGTCTGTTCTGGCATTGCTTGGAGTTCTGTGTCATCTTGGCCAAGTTACTTAACCTCATAAAAACAGATTTGGGCTTGTTTTGCAGATGATAACCACTTATCTCCTCAGAGTGCCAGAAAGCTTAGCTCACTTTTGCTAATGCTTTGGGAAGCAGGGGCTGTTGAAGTTCAGATGTTGGTCTAGGTGAAGGAAGCCATGGTCTTTGATGTGGAGAGAAGCGTTGCCCCACCAACAGTTTCTTCAGAGGGTTCATGTGTTGGGGACATGTTTGCTTACATTGTTCCTGTAGTGGTTTCAAAGCAGGGGGGCAGAGACCTCTCAAGCAATCTTTTTATCGTTGGCCGTGCTTGCAACTCACTGGCTCCTCTTTTGTTTGATCTGTTTGCCAAAAGTCAGAACCTGTCCCAGACTCTTACCCCCCGAGCCCGACGTCTTCTCAGATGTAGGGAAGAACATCAAAGCACTGTGAGCAGTTGCCCTTTTGAAGAGCATTCCCCAGGGTTTAGCAGGATGCTTGTTTGATCCTGGTAGATGAAAATGAATTGTCAGCTCTGTCACCTCTCTGTCAAGGCTGCATTAGATAGCTGAGGAAGTTTCAAGAGAAGCATCGTTGGCTGCAGGTCAAGACATGGCCTTTTTGTCACCTCCTTTTGCTTTGCATTAAACGCTGCTGTAGCTTTGCTTAATTCTGGGACTGGTGTTTTGTATTCGCTCCATCCAAGGGAACTTAGTGTCCATCCACAGTGTACTGGTTTAAGGAGACCATGTGTCTGGAGGTTTTTCTTGTCATGACGGAAAAGCTTTCGCTGTCCCACAGAGGACTTGTTTGACTGCATGACAAGGAAGCGACTGTCCCAAAGCGTTTCTCTAACTGCTCATGGGTTGTGTTTGCCTTCCACTTCAATCCTGAAAGGCAACTGGTTTTTTGGCAGAGTAGCTGTACTCTAGGTTATTTTGCAGATGGGATTCTTATGGGAATAGAGAGAAAACAGTTTAAAAAAGAATAATCAGAGGTTTAGTTTTTCTCATGCTATTGAGGAGTCTTTTATTATGATTTTTTTTTAACTCCTTGTTCTAGTGAACTTCCACTGCTTTGCATGAGGGAGAGCCAAGTTTGCAGCACTTGAGTCAGCTCCCGTAGGGCAGTGCGGCATTCTCAGGAGGTTGCGTGTAACTCACTGCTTTTTTGGAGGTTTTAAACAAAATTAATGAGTTACTTTTCTGATGTCCTTGGGAGAATGAGCAAAGGAAGAAGGTGTAGTGGGAGGGATGTACCGTTCTGAACTGCATTAGGGGCAAATTCCCCCAAAGTTGTACTGTCCCCCTGCTTCTCCCTTGGATATTTGAGGCTCCTACTGTGAGGACAGGTGGCGTTTGTGAACGGGTTTCATCTGGGCTGCTGAGATCCGTGCCCGTCCTATTGACTGGTAATGTATTAGAATACATGTGCAAAATTTCTAAGAAGAGCATAAGCAGGTCTTCCTTCCCTTACTCTTTTTTATAACATCAATACCAGTACCTCTCTTCCTTCAGCTTTCACATCATCCGCTTGCTAAGAGATGCTGGTGCTGGACAGAGAGAAGTTTTCTCACCTTTCATCTTCAGAGCCTCCTGGTTGTATTGAGCTGTTGCAGTGACATCCATGTGTGTTTTCCTCCTCTTCTGCACTCGGCTTTGATACCTTTCCAGCTGCATTTGCTTTCCTTAGGAAGCCGCACAGCCTCGTCTGACAATTTTGGTGCTACCCACAGTGTCCTAATAGCAGTTTTGACCTTTCAATTAACTTCAGGATCGCCTCTTTCAGCAGG